GAGAGGAAAGATGTTAATTTAGATTTGATAAAAGTTGAAGGGAAAGTAGGAGGCAAGTTGGAAGATACTGAACTAATATATGGGATACTTGTTGACAAGGAAATGAGTCATCCGCAGATGCCAAAGCAAATTGAAGATGCAAAAATTGCTATCCTGACATGCCCCTTTGAACCACCTAAGCCAAAGACTAAACATAAGGTGGACATTGATACAGTGGAAAAGTTTCAAACATTGCGCAAGCAAGAGCAGCAGTACTTTGATGTCATGGTTCAGAAATGCAAGGTGGGTTGCAGTTTGTGTAACCATCAATAAATGTTTGACATGACACAATTGTATAAGCGCATCTCTCTTACTGTATATTAAACTTGTTGCTGTACTCATCTCCCCTATATTTTTTTTCTTTCTCTGGTTTCATCAATTTCTGACTGTTCTTTTTTCATCTGGCTGTTATTCAGGTTGTATGAGGTTTTTGATAATATGCTTTTTGGCGGGTTGCTTTTGGAGTCACTAGGAGACTTATTTTACTGGCTCTTTATGTTTTTGTTGCTTGTAACTTTTTTCCCCCCTTAAATCTGATTCTCAGGATGTTGGCGCAACCTTGGTTATCTGTCAATGGGGGTTTGATGATGAGGCAAATCATTTATTAATGCACAGGAACTTGCCTGCTGTCCGCTGGGTTGGTGGTGTAGAGTTAGAGCTGATCGCAATAGCTACAGGTTCGTGTCAATTAAGCCTCTCTCCAGGTGTTAGTATATATATATATGGTTATGTATTTGGGTGGAACACCTGCACATCAATAATCTGTTGTCATGATTTAGTCATTATAAATGAAATGATGGGGTCTTGTTATTTTAGGTGGAAGAATTGTGCCAAGGTTCCAGGAGTTGACACCTGAAAAGCTGGGAAAGGTAAATTTTTCTTATTTGCTTGCTCTTTTCAATTAGGGAAAAAGAGGTCGGATATAATAGCATCATATATTTTTGTGTTCTCAAGCCTGGTTCTATCCTTTAGAAGAAGACTATTTATCAGTATTTTAGTTGAGTCAGGTTTAAGAATTTTAAAGGCGTTCAAACCAATAAGGCAATAAAGATTCCTGCATTTTAGTGACTGGACGCTATTGATTCATGCAGTTACCTTTTTCATTCATGTAGCACAGATGACACTGACGTGTTATTCTTCCTTTCCTTTTACTGTTTTATGTGTGAAGGCTGGTTTGGTTCGAGAAAAGGCTTTTGGCACTACCAAAGATAGAATGTTGTATGTTGAACACTGTGCAAATTCGAGGGCTGTAACCATATTTATTCGAGGAGGTAAGATTTAGATTATCCATTTAAAATCTTTATTGCAATTGATTTTGTTTTTGCTTGTTATATTGTGGCAAGTAACCGTGTTTCTTCCAAAATATAATTGTTATTGCATGGCAATTAACTTTGTGTTCTTTCAAAATATAATTGTTACATGGAGTCTTTTGCATTCATGTTTTCATTCCCCAGTAAATGGGTGACAGACTTTGTGCCTATGGTATATCTTCTCTTTTTCTTACTGGAAAAGAAGTGTTTGTTGCATTGTAGAGTCACCATTTAAGCTTGATATACATGAGGTATGATTTATGTTTGGGATAAACTTGTTTGAAGTTTGAACTCCTTTATTTCTTACATGTTTGATGCTCACAAGTCACAGTCTACTCTTGCATTGTGTCTGCTTTCCTATGGAATCCTGTGTACTAGTATGCAAGCAAGCTAGAGATGATCTCAAAGTCTACAATAGATTTTTTTTGAAGATATTGTGCTGCTTTGCTTTGATGGCTCAGTATATTTAATGCTGCTCGGAAACTACTCGATTGTGCCTGCTCTCTAACATCTAATTATCATCCAATTCTAGCAGAGAAACGAACTAGTTGAAAGATCTCTTCATAAGTGAAGCTTTCATGCAAATTGTGTCGATGCCTCATGTTGTGTGTTGGACCTGTATTTTCTTCTTCTTCTTCTTATTCTTTTTCCTTGTTATGCTGTTTGGATGCATTCCATTGCTATCATAGATGAATTGCTAAACTACTAAAGAAAGCAAAGGCATCCTTTGCTCACGTCTGATATGTAGACCTATTGTAGTTTCAAAGGGAGATGTTTTTAAAAAAAGAAGAAGGCAGGGGGGTCCCTGTCTTTAAGATTTTGCAGTTGATCTCATGCAAGGTTTTGTTGTTTTGTGATTACTAGGTAACAAAATGATAATTGAGGAGACAAAGCGTAGCATCCATGATGCGTTGTGTGTGGCCAGGAATCTTATTCGCAACAACTCTATTGTATATGGTGGTGGCTCAGCTGAGATTTCCTGCTCAGTTGCTGTGGAGGCTGCAGCTGATAGATATCCAGGAGTTGAGCAGGTAAGTTTCTTTCGTGTTATTTTGTGTGTGTGGGTGGGTGTACTTTTTTTTTTTTATTGATACTGATGGCTTTCATTTTCATTATACGCAGTATGCCATCAGGGCATTTGCTGATGCTTTAGATTCTGTCCCTATGGCGCTAGCAGAAAATAGCGGCCTCCAACCAATTGAGACATTATCTGCAGTGAAATCTCAGCAAATTAAGGTAAACGTGATATGACCACCTTCAGTGCCCCTCGCATCTAGCTCCAATTTGTGCACCCGTAGTTCACCATCATCACAGCTGTTATTTTAATTTTCCTTTCAAAAATGAATTTGCAGGAGAACAATCATTACTGCGGAATAGATTGCAATGATGCTGGTACAAATGACATGCGCGAGCAAAACGTCTTTGAGACTCTTATTGGAAAGCAGCAGCAGATTTTTCTTGCAACACAAGTTGTCAAAATGATATTAAAAATTGATGATGTCATCTCTCCTTCTGAGTACTGATCTTGTAAAGGTCGGATATCACACTGCTTAACAATCAACTGAGGCCAGATTGTTCTACTGGCCTGAAGCAGCATTTCGAGCCACTCTGATACAGACATTTGTTTCATGAGAGCTTGTTTTGGTTGCAGATTTTGTATTGCCCGTTGGATTTTAATCGGTTTTCCTTGCGTGTTTGACGTGGTTGATTTTTATTGCTTGTTTTCTTTGATTAGTGATATTACATGATGCCCCCTTTTAGCTTTTTCTACTTTTATTCTTCAATTTGTTAATTTCATTTGATTCAGCTCCTACCATCCATAAACCTCCTCGATGCCATTTTTCTGGCCACCTTTCTACGTGGACTTGGGTTCAAACACGGCCCATATGATAGTAGTAGGGCGTCCATTTGGTGGATGGAAATGGAAAGAGAGTGAATTTTGTGATTTTTATTTCTTTATCTGGGTGCTTGCACTGATTAGTTCACAAATTTAATTTTTTGACATGCTCCCTAGATTGATGTTGTTTTTATAATTTTAAAATTCTTATATAACCTTGATCAAGTTTCATGAGTGCATGTATTCAAATTGAAAAAAAAGCAATGTAATCAAAGTGTAGCCACCAGTGATCCTGTGAGGTCGTACAAGAGGTGGCTGTCGAGGAATGTAATGTACCCCACTATTCAGGTCAGTGGAGACGTCTCGATTTGATCTCCTTGTGATTTTGGTATTTTGTTTTCACCTGTATGTTTATTATTAAATTATTATTTGTTAGTAGTTTTTTATTTATTTATTTCAACATATTAATATAAAAAATTGTGAAAAACGCGATTGTATATAATAATACCAAACACGTTTATCCAATGACTACGTGTCATCGACATTTGCATTTTATACAGGTTCGGTTCTGCTGGTCTGCTCTCAATTCACCAGGCCCCTCAATTAATTACTCACAATTTGGGTAGACAATAAAGTTCCGGTTGGCAGAGACTGAGGCACTGTATAAAGGCAGTTGATGCGCAACGGAACACATGGTGGACCTTGTTGTCTGTTAATGATGTAGATGCAATAGGTCGAATGTCACTGTTATTTTTGTCCTAGGTAGAGGGAGAATGACGTCTATAAATTGAACTTTAACTATTATTTTACTATCAAGATGCATGAACTCAGGATATTTCATTGGAGTTCAATTTTTATCTAGGTACAGGAACTCGGGTATGGTACCCGAGCCTCTACTAGCCCACACCTCAATATAGAAGCCCGAGCCCGTTATTTGGACGCACACCCACTGTTATGCTTACTGGGAGTGGCATGCCCAACCTTAGTGGCATGTTGCCCAGGTTGTGCTGGGTGGGCACCCCCACCATCTTCATGTACTTGAGCCCGAGCCTAATATATCTAGATCCAATCCGCATCTTCATCTATTTTTCACCTCAAAACCAAAAATATTACCACCTGAATAAGAACCACAAGTAGTATTAGTTAAGCTGTTTGGCGCAAGTCCCGGTTGATTTTTCTGAGATTGGGCTGATATCGGAGTTGCAACTGGTCGGAAACAATTGGTTCTCCCCGTCTAACGCTAAGTTAAGGCAAATAATCCATTCTCAATGAATCATTTGCATGCGGTACGAACAGGTTCAAATTAGCTCTTTGGATCCCTATCGTTCCCGGATTCAGGGTCACTCGAAACTTGACTTACTTCTTCAACCTTTTATTAGCAGGCGTTGCTAGAAAATACAAGCTGAAAACCGTGCTGCGAGGCCATGGAACGAACAAGCTACGCCTGGGGCTGGAGAGGAATCGGTCAATCGGGCGCCAGGATAAATAAATGAGGCACGAAGAATGAGACAACTGGTAAACAGAACATCTATTTAATTCCATCTCTGCCGACTGAAGTATGTGGTTTCCATTAGTGGAAAGGGTCTGGTGGTATCATTTATGGCAACTGCACTTTTTTACTGTTCAGTTTTGTTAGACATTGTGAATTTTTAATTTGTTTTAGTTTTAAATTTTAAAAAACTAAAATTTTAATATATTTTAAAACAAAAAAAAACATTTTGAAAAATAAAACCGACAGCGAGAGTGAACAGGTGAATGGTCTGATAAGGAATTGGTCCCCTTAAACAGACAAAGTCGTAGTGAACAGTTGCACGTCCGCAAAAAAGGGATGGCCCCATTAAATAGAGCTACAAGGACGTACATGTTCTTTCAACTTCTCAAGTTTCGATCCACTTTCCATACCTCCCATGCGATCTGAGTACAGAGTAGGAGAGGGTGTGAGAGAGATTGATGTGCAACTACAACTATGCGAGGCCTCATTACCTCTTGTTTTCTTTCTGCGCCGTCAAGATTCCGATTGAGGTTCTCGTGATGGTGGGTTTCATGGACACAGGCAGCTCTTTGTTTTTTACCATAAAAAGCAGACAAATTAGTATAGACTAATCCTTTATAGCTAGCTGATTCCTTGTAATAATTACAAATGGCCTTATTAACTTCCTTTTTTCACCTTTCTTTTCACTTTTAATTTGCTTAACCTTTATTGGTTGAATTATACACTTGATGGGCTTCTGTGCAAAGCCACTAATCAGCAACGGGAACCCTTCTTGCAAACAAGTGAACCTGCTCCTGCTGTGATGGAGCTAACCAAGGAAGATGGTCTTGCACCTAAGCTGGATGCCTTGGCGTAACTAGAGGAAGCTCCAGCTCCAGATGCTGTGAAGAATGCCCCGTTTAACAGCAAATCCCCTTCAGACCTCCAGTTCCAACCCTTCCATTCACTTTGTGGTGCATCCTCATGTTTAGTTACCTGAAAGTATTGATTTGACACATTTTTAGGTTATCTATTCTTCTATCTATCGATCAATGTGCCATGAAAGAGATATCAGTTTGGCCCTCACAGAAAATTACCTCTTTATTAAATCTGTCATTGGGAGCAAGAAACCTATTGCCTTGGCTGTTAATTGTAGGATCAGCACTGCCACCAATTGCGTACATTTTCCAATGTGAGTAGTCGTTGTTTACCACGTGAAAATATCCATGTCTACACCTGCAGATTAATTAAGACACGATGAGAATTTAGACACCATGGCTCTACATATCCGTCTAGATTTAGATTCTGTATATATACCTTGGCATCCTCTGCACAAGCCCTTCTCCAAAGTGGTTGAAGGCAATGGTGACTTGCATGTTCTTGTCTTGTTTATAGCTATCACTATGGCCCAAGAGCATGACCTTGTTGTGATGGGTCAAGTAATTGTTTGAGATTGTTATGGCTGTGGATCCATGAATCGCATCAATCAACCCATCATTGCAATTGGATAAAGAGCAATGATCCACCCACACATGGCTGCCTCCGAATATCGACACCCCATCACCGTCCGATATAGTCCTCCATCCATAATGACTTGGGGAATCCCTCACATAAGCATTCCCTCCTTGCTTACAATCATGAATATTTAGACCATGAATTATAATGTTGGTCACATACTGTATAGTGATGCATGGACCACCAGCAATGTGCACACTGGCTCCTCTTCCATCGATCGTCTTGAAAGAGTTCATGATCAGCTCTTCCTTCAGCTTGATCACCATGTCTCGAGCGAAAATGATCCATAAAGGCTCATCTTGTATAACAGCATACCTAAGAGTGCCTGGCTTGGGATTCACAGGGTCATCATTCCCAGGGTCTGTCACTACATATATCTTACCATCCCTGCCACCGATAGCATGCTTACCGAACCCAATTGCACAATCTGCTAATCTCTGCCGATTCTTCTCCCAATTGGGGTCACACCTCCAGCAATCGTCTATTGGATTGCCGGTTCCACAAGAAAGGAAACCCAATTTTCTTCTAGAGGCGTTGATGCTCCTGAAACAGTTAGGAAACGAAAAACGTGTCACATTAATTTCCAAGATATATATAGCACATTTACATATATTAATTTTAATTGCTAGCTAGCGCCAACTGTTCAAAGGGCTAGAGAATATTATACCTGTGTACTTCCTCCACTACCAATTCAGGATCTTGAACTGGCGAACAGGAAATAAAATTTGGAGCTAGAATAAGCAGGAGGATCGAAAGAGAGAGCGGGATTGCCATTACTCTCTCAATTTGTTCAAACGGAAGGATTTGGACACTAGAAATTTGTGAGAAACTTGGAGGAATGAGGTGCCTATATAAAGGGAATAGATAGGGGTAAAAGAGCTTAATTGGTAAGAAAAATAATAGTGGACCCAGACTTTATTATTTTTCGTTTTCTTTTATTTCTTAAAAAATTAAAATCCCGAGATGTTTTGGTTAGTCAGATTGAGCCGTTAAAGAATCCCTCTCTTGTTTAGATTTTTATTAGAGTGGTTTTCAGTGATACATGACTAGTTGAATTAATTTTTTTAGGATCAAGATTAAAAAAATTAAAAAATATTAGGAAAAAAAATCAAAGTTAAATAAATAAAAAAATGATGAAAAACAAATCTGGAGAGAACATGTGTTAACTTTACTAATTTACACTACCTCTATAGAAAGAAGTGGAAAAATTTACAAAACTTCTACCTCTATAGAAAGAAGTGGAAAAATTCACTAAAGAGTATTAATTTAATATCAAATAATAAAATTAAAAATAAAATCAATTTAAAAAAAAAAAAGTGTCGCTTATGTTAATTCAACTAACATGTGACATAAGATTTGAGATAGAAATAATCTTGTATAAAAACAAAATAAATCATGAAAGTTAAAGTTCAACAACTCAATATTAAATAATAAAAATTTAAAAATATATTATGAAGGACTTTTAAAAAATATCAAACTTAAATAAGGTCAATCTTCAAAACCGGTGGATTGAGTTTTGAGACCAGGATTACCTTGTAGAAGATGAACATGAAAAAACTAACAAAGCAAAATTTCCAATTATAAAGATTCAAAAATCAAAACAATAAAAACTAAATTTTGTATAAAAATAACTAGGGCTCAATTTAAAAAAAAAAAGATAAAAGATTTGTATAAAAATAACTAGGGCTCAATTTTTTTAAAAAAAAAAGATAAAATAAAGACCAATAAAATCAATGAGGACCAAAATTGAAAACAAAATAAAATGTTAAAGGAAAAAATTAAAAAAATCAAGCAAATTATTTCAAAATAGTAATCAAAAGAATAAGGGTCAAACTATATAAAAAAAACAAAGAAAACAAATATTAAAGGATGAAATAAATTTAAAAAAAAACATTAAAATCAAAATAATAATAATTAAATTTAATATAAATATAAACTGAAAAATATAATTGAATTTTTAAAGGTTTAGCACGAATAGCAAGACATAAGAGAAAAAAACTTTAGTACCACTTAATCACGGCAAATATGATGGCACACACCACCTTATTAGCTTCTTCACCACAATATATGTTGGGCATCATGACAATATGTAGTTTTTGGCCATCAAAAGATTTCACATGTGTTTCTAGAAGGGTATACGGATGATCACAAGTGCTATGCTCGTTTTTGTTTTTTTATTAATTTTTTTATATTTTATTAATTTAAATTATTAAACAACCTCTAAAAGCATCTTAATATTATTAAAAAATATTGTAAAGTTGAAAACATGCTTCTAAGCTAACTTTAGATTTTTTATTCTATGGTTAAATTTTTCATTTCATTATATAAAAAATATGAAAAAAAAAAAGAGAAAACCCTCTCATCAAGCTTAATATTTTTTCAACTATTAAAGATATTGACATCATTTTTCTATGAAAATAAAATAAAATAACAAAAAAGTTTATAGATAAAAAAACCAAAAAATTTTGCGTTCAAAGACAACGATATAATTTTACTATATATATATATATAAAAAAGCTAACTAGATTGTCCCATGCCAATCCAAACTAAATCACAAATATCTTTTGAAATTTTTTATAATGTGGATATCATTACCTATAGATTGGACTAGACAAGAACATAAATAAATTCAGGTTGAGAAGAACTTGTAATAGATCATTAAAACTAAAACATTTGTAGAGCACCAGTTCAATATAAAGATTTTAAGTTTAATTCCATTAATATTTATTTATTAAAAAATAATATATTTACATTCGATTAGTTGTATTCACATGAATATATAAAACTTTGACTCTCGTATAGATTTAATAAGAATATTTAAATTTGTGTAATTATGAAAAAACTTGGATTTTTTGATTTGGTGTGTGGCACTCGTTAACAAAACATAATTAGCTTTGAAAAATTATTGTAGTTTAGGATCTATTAGTGTTGTTCACTAGAACAACTTAATGGTATTTTTGTCCTTTCTTTCAATAACATTTACATTAGTTTTTCAAGGGTATTTAAGTATTTTCATATAACTCATTTATCATTTCCAAATTGATTGGAAACTACATTAGTTATTCAAGGGTATTTAAGTATTTTCATATAACTCATTTATCATTTCCAAATTGATTGGAAACAAGTAATTTTTTTTTTCTATCTCAATTGCATAATCAAATAACAAGAATACACTTAATGTCAAAGGAAATTTTTGTATTTTTACAGTTATTTTTTTTGTTATTAAAATTTAAGCCTGGAGTAATTTGGTGTGTCATCAAATATAAAAAAAAATAAAAAAACAATAAAAATACATAACAAAACAAATAAAAATATCCTTTAAATCAAGAAATTTAAGCATGAGATCAAAGGGTGTTTTTATTTTTTCACAAAGTTTTTTTGTAATTTAAAAGTCAATTATGAGGTACTTTTGTGTGTTTTTATTTTTTCACAAAGTTTTTTTTATAATTTAAAAGTCAATTATGGGATACTTTTCCATTAAAACAATGCATAGAAATACCTTTTACATTAAAAAAATAAAACAAACTTACTATTTTCAATTTCAAGGAATATTTTTCCATTAAAAGAATGTATCGTGATAACTTCTAATTTTTTTATTTAATTATAGAGAAAAAATTATTTGATCAGTTAATAATCTTTACTTTTTATACTGAATTTCATATATAATTGCATTTTAAATTTTAATTTTATAAAAAATAAAATAATATATTTTTCATTCAATAAAAATCTAATTTTTATTTATTTTATATATAAAAATCAGTTTCACAAGAATTTTGATTAAATACATATTTCTTAAAAATTAATTTAAAAAATATATAATTAATATTTTTAACCGTTATGCAACATCAAATTCAGAAAATGATTGCATCAAGCTCCATTTGAACGCTCACAATTAACTAAGCTTTTCACTGTTTTTAATTTTTTCTTTTATGGGCAAGACAAGATTTAGGTGGTGTTTTATCGTGCGGATAAAATAGCAGGTTAAGAGTTGAATGCTTTTTTTTTAAATTGTTTTAACATACTAATATTAAAATTATTTTTTAAAATAAAAAAACATATATTACTTTAATATATTTTTAAATAAAAAATATTTTAAAAAATAATTATTAATACTCTTCCCATTTTTTTTAAATTAAAGCCCGCAGTTAATTCTGAAATTTAAAAAGAAAGCGACTGGAGGAAAATCAATCACCGTCAAGGACATAAATGCCATGAAATGATCTTTCACTGAAATTAAAGTGTATAAATGATTAGATAGAGCCTGCAATTAATGGCTAAGTAGCTACTATCACAGCCAAATTATTACTGTAGAGTAGTGTTTAGCATCAAATCATGGTCCAATCTCATGAACTTTATGCTATTAGCATTAATAAATTAAAATTTTGAACTGCAAGGAATTTTAATAAAATAACACGGTTCATATTTGTTATAGTTTTACAACACCCCATATAAAAAGAAGTTATAATTCAAAAAAGTTACAATAAATTAATATAACATTTATAAAACAAAACTTCTTTACAAAATATGACAATAAAAAAAAATTAAAATTTAATTTGAAGATATAATTATTCATTTGGAATTATAATTGTGATTATTTTTAAAGTATTTTTTATTTAGAATTAAATTAAAATACTATTTTTTTATTTTAAAAATTATTGATAATATCAACTCATCAAAATAATCTGAAAATTTCAAGAAAATATTAATTTAAAATAAAAAATAAAATAAATTTAAATTTCTAAAACAATATTTTTAAAACATAAAAATAAATATGACCATATTTAAAATCACGACAGAATAAAATGTCACTGTTTAGAATAAAAAGAGGACAGAAATGGCACTATTCTATGATTTTTTTTCAAACTATATTATTCCATTAATATTTTTAATTTAATTTGCTATATATAAAAAGAAGTGACCATTGATTTAAAGATATTAACGTCCATTAATTTAATTTGCTATATATAAAAAGAATTGACGATTGATTTAAAGATATTAACGTTCCACCGCCCCCCCCCGACACTCTCACAACCCGTCGGTGTTTCTGTTGAAAGTGAAGGCACCTTTTTCCTCCATCACGCATTACTCTTCGTCAGCAATAATTGTTTTTTTTTTTTGGTGATATATAATTAAATTTAGCTGCATTTATCTGATTCAGTTGAAGCGGTTTGTCATTGATTTTGCATCAGACAAGGCCTCGTTGTTTTCCCCGAAGGTTTCTGACTCTCTGTCTGAATTATATTATTATATTGCTTTTAAGATCTCGTTTGTATCTTGAAGAAAATCTAAACCGTCGGTATCGAAATAAAAGATCCACGTAAGCTGATGGATTTTGCAAACAAAAAGCATGTGATTGCTATTAAAAAATAGTATTTTTTATTCAATAAAAGATCGAGTAATTATAAAATATCCAATAAAATAAATAAGCTAAATTATAAAAATTTAATGTTTTTTTTTCTAGAATACCTGTGGAAAAAAGTTATAGGAGAGGCTCTGTGATCATCTTTTGTGGCCAAACAATCATGTCTGATGGATTGTTTCTACTCATAAAAATGAAGTCTTTATTGTCTAACAATTTAGAGGTACAATGCTTTCATGGCATTTATTTTTACTTTTAAGAGTGTCGTTAAATTTTATTTATTTATTTTAAATTTATATATTTTTTAGTATTTTTAGATTATTTTAATGTACTAATTTTAAAAATAAAAGTATATTATTTTAATATATTTATAAATAAAATATATTTTAAAAAATAACTATCATTACCTTCTCCACTCCTCAAAATAATTGGAATATAGAATTAGCAA